GTGGCAGGCTACCCTTTATCAATCATGAAATGCCCAAGTCTCTATGACTTTCAGAGAAAAAGTTATTCAAAAATATCTTGTAATTTTTTTTATAGATTTGGTGGTTTCACCATTTCCGAAGGTCGTAGAAGCTCGGGGATGGTCCCAATGGATCGGGCATAGCCACATTAGTGGAGATGTAGCCGCGGCAACAACACATTCAAAAACTCCATTCATCCAAAACACCATTCACTGTATTCCTATTAAACTTCCCCAACCTCTGTTACCTTTAAAGAGCATTTGTGCAGAATGCTCACAATGCCACAGTAATTAGATCTCATCTCAACGGCTCAACAGTAACAAGGAAGGACTCATCATATTAATTTCACTGCACATGGAGATCTTGTGTTTTTGTTTGGTTTTGGACCATATCATCAAACCGTCTTCTACGTGTGGGGCACCTCTTTTTTGTAAATTTTCTTAGGTTTGACATCACGAGGGAAAGCTACAAAATGGGATTGGGAACTTCAATTAGAGATTGACGGCAGGCCTTCTTTGAGCTTTTGTGATTTAACCAGGATAAAGATAAGTGAAAATCTTACCTAAAGATTTAGGTATTTATTTTCCTTGATAATACAACCTCTTTCATAAAATCCAAAATTGCAGTTATCTCACCAACATTACAGGTTCATGTATCCATGACTGGACTGGTCTTCTGCTAGTTTACAGGACTAATTCAATAAGCCTTTTCACCTGGTCTTTTAACAAGAACTTTCCTAATTTAAAAAAATGTAATTACGCAGAAGAATACAGTTTATCTTAAAATAGAAAGTAATTACTGCTTCCTGGGGATTAATTGGTGATAATATTGTCCTCCCTCCTACAACTGGCTGCAGACCGTCTTCCCATTAGTTGCTCAGGTGATTTATGGGACGTTGTTAGTGCTAAGACAAGCTTCTGTTCAATTTTAGATGGGATTCAGAGATCTATACGTACACACCCCGTGTCTAAAAATAAATCTAAGGTTTTACACAGGGAGCCTACTTTCATTATTGCAGCACTTGGCCGCCCTGTTTCCATGTGCAGCAAATATTAGCAGCCTCCTCTGCTCTCCGTCTGTGCGTCATGCGTCCCTGCCTGCAGGTAATGGAGCAGAGAAACACAGAAGGGCAAGAAAGGGCCTCCCGTTCAAACTCATTAGAGGTTTGTTAAAGTTGATGACGGGTGCTGTGTCCTAAAATTCTGGTTTTATAAACGAGGACATTTATCCTGGTGTGAAAGGTCCCATAGCACTTTTACAGACATCTATATGTGCTAAATAACACCTGTAACTATCGTCACTTTTGCTGCACTAGGTGAAATTGTCTTATACCACTGTCTTCACCTTCATGGGCCACTTTCGATAGATTCTCAGTATCAAATTATAAGACTATTACCGTGACAATATGAAGCCATTAGAGCCAGTTGCCACCTTATCAGTAGGAAATTAGCCATTTCAAAATTGTGCTTAACGGCCTATTAGCAATTAATTACACACTTATGAATACTGAATGAGCCGTTCATCCGAAGATCCCAGGACACCCGAGACAAATTAGACACTGGTAATGAACATATTGCCCCAAAGTTAAACAAGAATTCCTGATTTAGCATCTAATGATTTATGAAGTCTATGAAGAGAGGATATATGAGAAGAGGTTAGGAGAGAAATCTTTCTTTTTTCTGTGTTGTTGTTGTTTTCTTCCCAAATTTTATCTATGCTAAATTTATGTTTATGGAGCCACTGAATGGTCACAGCGAGAAGTTAACCGAGGATTACTTTTGTATTCTCTCACGATATGTTTTGCATTATCTGGCAAAACTATTTGGGACCCAACAGGCCGGGCCAGGTTCAGACAAATACTTCTGATTGGTATTCAGGTTTGGGCTGATATTTAACACTACAATGTCTGTAATCGGGGCAAATAAAAAATAAGTGCGAGGGACAGGGTAACACAAACTCAGCTTCTATGTGCAGCACGCAGTAATTGCATCCAGCTCATGTTGGGTTCCACCACTTTCATGCAATTAGTGACCAATCTAAGGAATCTATATTCAGATCACATGATGTAACAGTGCAGTTCACTTGGGGTCAGAGTCGATAAGCTTTCTCTTGTGGTCCAAACCTCAAACTGCATATGGCTCAGAAAGGTTAGAAGAGAAGTATTGTGAGGTAACGCAAGAAAAATGAAAATATGAAGGACCAGAGCTGGTGTGTCCACTGATGCTGTAAAGGAAAACCCTGTTCTTTGTTATCTCTCCTATCTTCTTATTTCATAATTACGGCACATGTCCCCAGCAGATCTGTTATACTGATCAAAATAAAGCAAATATTCACTGCATTCTTAAAGCCTTAAATTGTGAACTGTTGTTGTGACAAGAATGTTCACCACAGTGCACTGCAGCCTGTATGTGTTGATGCTGTAGTTGTTGCCTCACAGGAAACAACACCAAATTAAGCTCCACACTCCAGCGAATTCTCTGTTAACATCAAAGTGGTGTTTCTACGCCGCTCCACTTCGCTATTCACTGCAGGCCGGTCTTGTTTATGTGGACAGGCCTGGTGCTCAACAGTCTTTGATCACTCAGTGTTTCTGATACAAGACGCCACAGTCCAATTGAGCTTTCTGGATAGTTCCTCCAGGCTCGGAGAACAAACGCTCAAAGTAGGCAGATCTTTAAAACGCAGCTGAGGCACCGACTTTACAAATGGATTTCACACATAAATATCCACAACTGTGTCCTCATTAATAAATGTGAATAATGGACCAAAAACAGCATCTTCTTACTTCAGGAGTGAGTGGAGGTGGAACGACAGAGGAAAATCTGTAACTTCATCCAACATAGATATATATATAAACATAGCAAGGTTAAGACGATATGGTGGATTAAAGAGTTTAGTTCCAGCATAGATTTGAAAATGAGCACAGCTTTAACTTTTTTATCATGACGTAGAGATGTCCCAAACAGTTGACTCATAAAAGTAGGCCCTGAAAAGTCAACTAAACACTATATGGCAATTTGAGCCATGTTCAACCTTTAAATATAGATGTTTTTATTAATAAACTTGGTAATAGATGTAATATTAAAACAAGGATTAA